GTGAAAGATAGATACTAAGGTCACAGTTGTCTGCAAAACATAAATAAAAAAATAAAATATGCCAAATAAGACACAAAGAAAAAAAACTGTAGATAATGTGTTACACATGGAGTTTTTTAATTTATTTTATTTCTTTAACCTTAATTTATCCAGGTAAACTGTTTGAGAACCACTTCTCATTTACAAACATGACCTGGTATGCACTGAGTGCAATATACAAACCTACATATTCAGCCATAGTAAAGTGATTGTAAATTTTAATCGCGATTAATCACAATTAAATTTTTTAATCTATGCCCATGCAGCACTAAAATTAATCAGAGTTAACTCGATTAATTTCACAGCCCTAAAAACAACATAATTAAAATAAAAATAAAAAAGCACATAAAAGTTAAAACAAAACAGAAAAACCAACGCAAGCCTCCACAGTTGGCTTGGGGTTTTCATGCTGCTAGAAAAGGAACAGAAACTTGAGAGAAAAAGCAAACTGCCCTCAGCATATCTCAGAAAGCTCTAATCTGTAATGTGGAGTGTCTGTGGAGAGCCGGCAACAGGAAGTGTGTGGGATATTGGCTGAACAGACAGAAACATGGCATCAAGGCATCATGCCTGACTTAAACTTTTTAACCACAAATTTCTGTTAGAAAAGGACTGGAAGTCATTTCTTACCAAGTTGATAAAAAACATCTACATATCTTCTTAAAGCCATTACACAAAGAGGAAAAATAGTCACAAACCTAGATTATTTCTTTTACCCCTGATTATTTTGGCTGTAGTTAACAACTGTGCCTCTACTAGAGAAAGTTTTGGTGATTGAAAGAAAGGGTGCTCCACTTTCCCCTTGCTTTGCAGCTGCGACCCCATAGCCTCCATGTGCTTAGACACCTATAAACAAAGCAAAAATTACAATAACATTAATAGCTTTTTTGGTAACGTCTTTTAGTGCTCAAGACCAAATATAAAAGAAAACAATAAAAGAAATAGACAGCACTAGCTTTGTTTCTGGTTTCCACTTGTAAGGTTCAGATTTTTGTTGTAGTACTTTGATAGACAGTTGACATCAATTTCTTCAGCGATATCTCCAGACTCCAGAAGAATTTAAGAGCCCAGATTAAGTGGTAGAAATGTAAAGAAACTATACACCTTGTCACTGTATTGGATTGATTCTAATAGTGAACCAAATGGATAGACACACTGCTAGTCCCGTGTCAGCAAGGTGTGTTGGATACAATCAGATATTTGGTGTCAGTCATAGACCAAAGTGTTTGTATTTTCTTATAAAAGAGAAATACTCTTTCTTATTTTATATTTGTTCTTTCCGCCTCATGTAGACCTTACACCTTTCTTTTCTCTCTGATTTGCAGCCTGGAAACAGCTTGTGCATTACCCACAGGTGTGATGGGAGACTCTGTCTTCTTTATGGTGATTTTTGGGTTCTTCTGTCACAGCCACAGTCTGGAAATACAGCAACCCCTGTATGGATCTAAATGGTATGTAAAACATTTGTCTTGAGTGAGAAGTTTATGCCCACCCTCTTATATGTTCTAGGCAAATCCACACACTGCTTGTTTCAATAACCTGTAGTGTATCACTGGCAAACCAACCATTAGTTTATATATTACAGCACATTGTCCATGTTACTGTGGTCTGCTGAACGTTGCAATCTTTGGAGATAGTCCTAGTTCTGTAGACACTTTCTTGGCGTTTAGTGCTAGTTACATTCGTTCCAGCATAAAATATTAAACTTGAGTGATACAAACAAGTACTGTGAACAAACTATTTCTCATTGCGCTTCACAAAGGTGATTTAAGCAAATGCTTTAGATACATGTTCACTGCTAATAATAGATCTTAAATTATGTTATAGCAAATATACAAAATTTACAAATCTCACATCAAACTTGTTCCTTCATAATAATGGTAACTAACCGCTGATAAAACCAGGTGCTGGTCCATTTTTGGTTCTCAGAGGACACAATGTTTGTTTATGTTCATCACGGAGGAAGAAATTCTTCTGTAGTTTTCTAGGGAAAGTTTACAACTCTGGCATGTCAATGCTTCTGTTCTGAATAAAAGCCTGGTGCATGTAAACGCTTGTCACGATCAGATTAATTTTGTGCCCATATAAACCATACATTTGGATTATTTAATCTGAATACAATTCAATCTGATCAAAGAATATTGTCAATGTAAACATATTTTTGTGATTATAAAGATTTATCAGATTTTGTTTTAAGTTAAGCTGGCCAAATGACTTTTAAATTGTGCTTTCTACTGTTACTTTCTGAGTGTTTCTCTGCAAAAGAAGGTTGACCCTGCTGTTTCTTTGTTTCCTAATAAGGACTCAGGAAAATGTCTTGAATCCTAGCGACTGTGTGTCCAGAACCACGCCTCAGCCGGTTCTAAACGCTCAAAATTTTTCTGTGGATCTCCGAATGCCTGGTGTTATTCCGACTGAGGTTTGTTCTTTTTTTACATGAATCATTGTACTTTGGACAAATTGGGATGAACAATTTCCTAAGCTTACTTATTGTAAAAGAAGTACATTAATATTCTTAGTTTAGTCACAGTTTGAAAATAAAATAGTAATGTATAATCAATTAGAAGTTAACTTCTTTATGAAGTTACTATTATCTAATTATAAAGTATCCAAGGTTCATTTACCTCTTGACATTTTCTCTCCCATTAAAAAAAGAAAGAAAAATGAAAAAAAAAATCAAAGTGACTGGAAGTTTCTTTCTTTCTTTCTTTCTTTCTTTCTTTCTTTCTTTCTTTCTTTCTTTCTTTCTTTCTTTCTTTCTTTCTTTCTTTCTTTCTTTCTTACTTCCTTCCCTTCTTTCTTTCTTTCTTTCTCTTTCTTTCTTTCTTTCTTTCTTTCTTTCTTTCTTCCTTCCTTCCTTCTTTCTTTCTTTCTTTCTTTCTTTTGTTTGTTCCTTCCTTCCTTCCTTCCTTCCTTCCTTCCTTCCTTCCTTCCTTCCTTCCTTCCTTCTTTCTTTCTTTCCTTCCTTCCTTTCTTTCTTTCCTTCCTTCC